CCGGACTTTGGTTTCGTGTGCGCTTATGAGAAGGATTGGACACATGGCGGATAATAGTGTCAAGGTCACTTAGAGGTTTCTTAAACTTAAGTGCATATTACCTTCGAATATTCATATGAGTAGATGAGTTTAATCGTTACCGACACCCAAATATTCAGATATTTGTCAATGATAATATACTAAGATGAAAATTCAATCGTCACGACATTTTCATTTATGCTTAAGTTTTGTTGGAAGAATGTTGTAATTTTAGTGGATTCGTTGTATACACTAAAATGGGGAAGAAATGTTGGAAATTTGGGTGAACCGGAGATTTTTCCTTGTACCGACCAAGCCGGTTACATGCAATTTGCTTTGAACCGAGTGCATTATTTATGTGTGTTTGGTAATGGGTGGATGATTTTTCACAAATTCCATGCAATTTTATGAAAGGGCACGTCCCATTCATGCCAAAGAAATGCTTTGATGCAATTCTATCTTTTTGGTTTATTACCAAGTAATACAACGTTCCATGGATGGTGGTTTTTGGTGGATGACATGTCTAATGACAGTTATAGTGCTATGACCATAATCCATAGTTATATCCACTGGTTGTAACTTTTCGTTTGAAATAAAGTACTGCTTCGGATTGAAGCAATATACTTCTTCGCCCTCTATAAATAAGAGGTGGTGCATGTGGAAAAGGACACACCAAAATTTATTTTTTTTCTTAACTTCTAAGTATGCTTTAGTGTCTTAAGTCTAGAACCTAAAGTGGTGATAGTTTTATCCTACGACGAAAATTCCCTATAACCTAGGGCTTTGTAGAGGGTGGAAATATTCTTTACGGAAAGTGAACATAGTTCACGAACTATATCATAATCCTGATTAATTGGTTTCAGGCTATCGTACTTGTACCCTCGTTCCAAAAGACCCAACACATGCACGTAACACCACTGGATCAGGTGCGAGACGACGTATAATTATTGGATCAAAGTGACTGAAATTTTGTAAATAAATTGACACCATTTTGATCCAACAATGACGAAGATCCATGCTTGATTCAACAGCTCTACACACCTGTAAACACGTGCACACAATGCCCCTGCAACTACAAGCCTAATGACTTTGCCGAAGAATGTAATAATAAGGAATTGAATTAGGTTTTGTGAGGGTCCAAGCCTCAGGAAAAGATGAACAAACCCCCCGGCTCCAGTCACAACTCACAACTCACTTACAGTCAGGAAAAGAAGAACAAGCCCTTGTAGCCTCCCTCTTCACTTTCACCCTTTACCTTGCTCTCAAGTTACAGCTCTCCGTTTCTTAATCATGGTGTTTGCAGAACCCAATCGGCGGTAGGGAATTTCTCTAAGCGCCCTTCATGGTTTGGATTTCTGGTGCCTCTCCTATTTCAGATTTTCCGTTGGACAGGATGTTTGGTCCAATGAGCGGTGCTTATTAATCGGTTTTGTCCCGATCCTCAGTGCTCGCATTGCGCATGATCCGGTCATGCTTCCTCTTCTTCTTCTTCCCCTGCCTCTTCTTTATTTTTTAATTTAGATTTAGTTGGTTTGACTAATGTTGTGGCCACCACCGAGAATAAAGCTAATCATACTATACCAGCGTTAGTCGCTGTGGTTAAGGCGCTTGTCGCTGGTTTGCCTCGTTGCCGTCGCGGCATGACTGCTCTTCATGTTTGCAGTCAGTGGGTGGGACTATTATCGATAATAATGCATCTTAGGAAAGGATAGGTAGGAGCTAGCTAGCGCTAGAACTTTCATAAATCTTAGAGAGTTATCTTTTTTTGGTGAGGCTCATAGGTCTTGCCACCTATTGGGGTATTCTTGGCATCTTCTCAAGGTTGTCTTATTGTTTTAGAGCTCTGCATTCTCTTCTCACCAGAGTTTTGAGTTTTCGTATTGTGCGGATAGTGGCTGGGATTTGTTTGTGGACAGTTGTGCTTCTTGGAATCGGTCAATTTTCCCGCCGTGGCAGGGAATCGCCGGTGAGTGTCAACCGCCGTTGAACCGTTACGCTTCCCATCTTTCCCATTTACTCTCTTTTAATTAGTTATAACTAATCGTTAGTGTTCAAACATGGTCAGAGCTTTGCTCAATCACGCCAGATGCCATTAAGGCCAACTATAGTCATTAATACATTATGAATCCAAAGTTAATGGGCTAATTAGAGGCAAATCAATTCGAGCCTTTACTGAATGTTTTGTGGTTCTACTTTTCAAGGAGCTAGGCAACACTGACAATATTAGTTCGGCTGTTACACTTACAATTTGGTGTAGGTGAGTTAAAATTGAGGATCAGGTGTATGATCTTTCTCGGTGCTTCATGACTACTTAGTGCCCCATCAAGGATTTTCTATTGCTGAAATTGGCAACAGACGAGAAATTGATAGTGTCCCAAATATCCATGTCCGCTTGTTCCACTACGGGTGCCGTTAAGATCCATTGGGCTTTAAATACACCAATTGAGTGGTGATTTCTTTTAATGGGAATGATGTACTACTACATCATTGGTACAATAATTAAGTAAATTAAATATAATTAATTGGTCCAAGGAAAATTTTAAATCACTAATTATCATCGAACCTGCTACAATTTTTGTGTTATATTGTGTCCAATAATCTGACAATCCATTATTTGGATGTAGCCCATTGATTTATGGTATCTTAGAGATGCCCTCATTTCTCCAAAGACGGTAAAGACACAGTCTAATCGAGCTACCAACGAGCTCTGAAAATAGCCCTAGCCTCTGGCCATAAACCTATGGTTCAAATTATTGACTCCTGATTTCGAAAAAGACATGGAACTTCCAAGTCCCACCTAAGCTAAAATTTTCTTATGGCTATGCCTAAAAGTGATACTACAATCCCAAGGAGTTAACTGTCTCAACCGATGCTCGTCTGATGGAGACATCGAGAGAGTATTGAATATTTATTCTTTAGGTGCCCCCTGGCCACTCAATTGTGGACCTTAGTAGGATTGAGCAACTTAATTGACTCCGCCCGGACTACCAATATTTAGTCTATGGTGGCGACATGTTATGATCTCTGAGATCTCCCAATTCCACACTTCCACACCCTCCAATGCGTCTTCTTACTTTGGAGAGTCTGGAAGTCTAAAAATAAAGTGATTTTTGAATTTTATCAACCTCATTTCTGTTCCCTCGCCAAACAATTCTACTCCCAGGTCCTTTTCCAATCTCTACCCCCCCCCCCCCAACACACACACACACTGCCGCCTGCTCTATCCTCCCAAATTCTTCTCCCGCCGTCTAGGAGTCCTATCACGACCCGAAATGTCCCACTGGAAGACTTTTTAAAGATCAATTTCAATGCAGTTGTTACGGTCTTGTTATATGTGAGCCATACGGGCATGTGGTGGTGGCAGTCGACATGCGTCACAAGAGAGTGGTCAATCCCTACGTAGTAGAGCTCTTAGCTACAAGATATGATATCTCCATCGTCGCCGCAAGATTCTTGACTCACGTGATTGTGGAAGGTGATTCCAAGGTGGTCGTCAAACAGAACCGACAAGGTGTCCTAGAAGGTTCCATTGGTGGTCCGGTGTTCTGGGCGTGTCGCCAGATCCTAGAATCTTTATCGGTTTGTAATTTGTATAGAGTTTAGGGCGGTTCCTAGAACTGGCAACAGTGCTGCCCATAGAGTGGCGTGTAAAGCACTGATATTGTCTTGTCTAGAGCTAGAGTCCTTAGACTTTTTTGGATGGTTTCTCTAAGGTGTTGCTATTAGAGGATTCCTGGGTAGTTTTGTACTTATAACTTTTTTTCTATCTTGATATCACTCAAAAGTATAAAAATAAAACTCTTTTCCCAGCCACCGGGGTCTTCCTAAGAGCATCTCCATCAATGCAATTGCTAAAAAAATTGCATTTGCGTTTTTTATTGTCAACTCAATTTTTTGCAATTCACATCACATTCATTTCATTCACATACATCAATGCAATTAACTTGCAATTGCAAATGTAATTAAATATTATGTTTAAATTATAGAAAATTACGTATAAGAGAAAAGAAAATAATATAAAATATAAAAAATCCTCATTTTTTTAGGTTCTTTTGACTTTCATATGGAATTGCATTTGTTACAAGTTTGCAAATATGCAATTGGTAGCCACATCAATGCAATTGATTTTGCAATTGCAAACAACTATTTCATGTCATTTTACAATTGAAAATGCAATACCAATATGGATGCTCTAATCCCCTCATATGTCGGCCAATCAGGACTAGGGCTGGAAGTTTGGTACCGGTATTTGGGATATACCGAATACCGTACCGAACTTATCACTATTTGGTATTACCGAATACCGATTTATTTTTTAGGGATTGGGATTGGGATTCATTTTGGAGTGCTATTCGGTATTGGGATCGGTATATACCAAAATATACCGAAATACCGAGAAACAACCAAAAAATAAAAATTAATGAAATATAGCACACAACTTTTGATCATTCCCCACTCTTTCATAACTCACAAGTCCCCATCCAACTCAATTATGGCTTTCCAGTTTAAGTCACTCTCGTCTCTCATCTAATCTCTTGTTATTTTCATAACATCAAAAAGAAAACCCTAGTATTAGTCGTCTCTCAACCTTCAATTCGTCGAATTAAAGATTGCCAATGACAAGAACTTGAGTTGTCACCTCTCCTCCCTTCTCCCTATCCATGTCCTAACTCTAGAAAAACTCAAGACTCTTTGCTTAGTTTTTTTGCCCTAAATTGAACAATCAAATCGAATTTATATATTTAATTGTTCATTGCAAAGATAATTAATTTTGTATTCGATAATAACGATTGGGATACCAAGATACCGATTGGGATACCAAAATATTTAGGGATTGGGATTGGGATACCGAAATTATTTAGGGATTGGGATTGGGATTGATTTTAGGGGGTAATTCGGTATTCGGGATTGGGATACCGATACCGTACCGATTTCCACCCCTAATCAGGTCGCCCCAAACCTCCGGCTCCAGCTGTGATCGTCCGCAGCCAAACACAGCCCTCACCACCCGTTTCTTCTTTCCCAGGCCTAGAGTAATACGAAAAAACTTCCCTCACAAGGCGCGAGTCCATCGCAAGACGGAGGAGCTGCTCTGCTCTCTCTCCACTCTCCACTCTCACTACCCTTTTTCCCCCTCTCTCGAGTCTTAGTTTTTCACTTTTCTCTCTTTTTTGGGTTCGGCGACGGCAACGAACGCAGTGATCGACGAGGCTGTTCATTGGAATTCTCTTTTCCGAGGTATCGATCGCGCTCCTTTTCCCTGTCAATGTCGTTGTTCCGAATTACGCTTTTTACTTCTCTTTCTTTCTTCCCTCGAGATTTCCTCGTGATTTTTTATTCCTCAGGGCGGACCCAGCTAACTTACTGACTCGCTCCTTTTTTTAATCTACCTTTTCTCTGTAGACACGGCGGCGATGGATCTCGACACGGCGGTGGCTCCACCGGGTTCAACCAATAAGAAACTCAAACAGAACGACGTAAGTCAGCGATCACCTTCCAATTCTTTGTGAGTCGGGGATTTTGGGGTTCCCTAGAGGTTGCATGATCGAAAGGGTTGTCTTTGCACGATGATCGGAGGGTATTTTTAGGAGAATTCATTTTTTTTATATATCACAAAGGGAATTCTATTCTTCGTCTTCCTTTTGCCTTAGGGCTAGAATGCATCTCTTTTCCTGTCGGGTTTTGTGTAGAATTGGGCGTCAAAATGTTGCTGTTTGGTTTCGCAGAATTGAGGTTTTTTGCGTTTCCTGACAATTTCTCTCCTTTATCAAAAGAGGAAGTCCGCAGAAGCAAAATAAGAGTAAATTGTTTTCAATTCCCACGTTTCTCCCCTTTTGTTTTGGGGATGCGGCTGTTTTTAAGTTCTCTCTCTTTGTCAATTCACTATCATGGCCATAATGCGCTGCTCTAGTGTAAGGGTTCTTACTTGTATCTTGGGTCTCAGTTTCTGTATGATCCAATTGTGCCTCTCAGGCTGGTCACTGGGATGCAATTGGTGTTGGAGATGGAGATCCAACCAATGGGTTGATTGAAAATGAATATATTGATGTTTCTGCCAAGGGCAAATCAAAATTGTATGATAATGATGATGATACATTGCAGCATGGCAAGAATAAGGTGCTTTGTTGTAATTGTCAGTTTAAAAGAGTTCATTTTCTCACTATTTATCAATGCAATGCAATTGTTGATTTTATTTTGTTTCCACAGGATGCTGGTTTGGCGGTGGTTGGCGGTAATCATGCAAAGAGTTCACCGTCTGGTTCGGATGATCCAAACAATATTATCACTTCCAATTCTGATATTTTGTATCACGATGATGACGAGGAGGAGCTTGCTGGCGACTATGAAGATGAGTATGGCGATGAAGATTATGCTGAGTATCTGTCTGATTATGATGTCAATGATGGTGATATCTATGAAGACGATTATTTGAAGCTTCAATCTCAGTTTGATAATGTGGATCTTCCCACTGGGGTGGAAGTATCTGTTCCCTGGATAACCGAACCTTCTCAAAATGTAGCTTCCATCCCAAGCACTACAGTTACCAATGGTCATGCTGAAGTCACAGGAAAAGTGAGCAGTGATTCTAGCCCTTCTGATGATAAAGGTCTGGTGGCATCTAGTAGTAGTACTACATCAGTACCCAATGGCGAGTCAAGTTCTTGTAATAAGGTAGAGGAAAGTGCAGAAAATATCATTGAAAAGCTCAAGAACTTTAAAACATTTGATACGGTTGAAGATTTCTCGGATCATCACTATGCTCGCTCTGGAGAGCAGGTTAGTCGTTATCATCCAATAGCTTTCTCTATTGAGTTGTATTTCGAATTTGGGTGTTCTAACTTGCCCTGTCCGTTAAATTGTGATGGCCCTCTCTAATTATGTCAGGGCTAATGTTGTGAGGTGCTTGTGTTGCAGGCGGTGCCAGCCAAAAATTGGGCCAAGAAAATCCAGGAGGAATGGAAGATTCTTGAAAACGACTTACCTGGTGAGCTTGCTCATACTAATTTTTTTTTTTTTTTGTTGGTAAAAATACTAATTCTTTCATGTCAATGGTTGTTGGTCTCTTTGGTTTTTTTTCTTTCTTTTCTTTAAGACTGTGTTCCTTCATCTTTCTCAGAGACTATATTTGTCAGAGTTTATGAATCAAGAATGGAGCTTTTGAGAGCTGTCATTATAGGACCGGCTGGTACTCCCTACCACGATGGCCTCTATGTGTTCGACTGCATTTTCCCATCAAACTATCCACATGCTCCACCTGTATGTATCCCCCCCCCTCCTCTTACTATGTAAGGGTTACAGATACATAAAAAATGGTGTTCCGCTGCAGAAGTATTGATTTTGTCTACCCTCTGTCTTAGATGGTATATTACTACTCTGGTGGACTCCGCCTGAACCCGAACTTGTATGAATGTGGGAAAGTCTGCCTGAGTCTATTGGGGACTTGGTCTGGGGACCGAAATGAGGAATGGATACCAGGAAGATCTACCATGCTTCAAGTTTTGGTGTCCATACAAGCTCTGATTCTGAATGCAAGACCCTTCTTTAATGAGCCGGGATATGAGTCAAGCTACACTGGAGAAAGAGGGGTGAAACAGTCCAGGGAGTACAATGAAAACGTGTTTATTTTGTCGCTCAAGACAATGATGTACATCCTAAGAAGGCCACCCAGGGTAATGTGATAATTTCGGCCTTTTCATGTTTCTCATTGCTGAATAAGATGTGCAACAATTCGGTTCACACAAGATCAAACTGACACTGGGATTGAACTGAACAGGACCTAATAGAGTTGGTTCGGATGGGATTCCATAGATCCTCCTAAAAATAAAGGCTGGACTGATGCACAAACCTTATTCCTGAAAAAAGAGCTCTACCCAAATGGGGCTAATATTTTTTCTTTCATTTTTTGTGGTTTTGTTTTGGATTTGCAGTACTTTGAAGAGCTTGTGAAGGGGCATTTCCAGCAGCGTGCGCATAACATTCTGATAGCATGCAGAGCTTATGCAGAAGGCAATGCACCAGGTACGATTACTATCAAAGACGGGGTGGCAGATCTTAGTCATGCAGATAAGGTCGCCTCGGCCAATTTCAAGGCACAAGTAAAGAAGTTCATCAACGTTCTCATTACCAACTTTTCGAGATTTGGGAACATTGACTGTGAGCAGTTTAGAGTGAGTGATTGACAGAGAAAGTGAGGAGCTTTGTTTAGAGTGGGGGTAGGGAGGGATTTGCAGTACAGAAGAAAAGGGTAGGTGAGGGGACATGTGGACTTAGTTTCAGGTGGGTAGAGTGGTGCCTTGAGAAAAAGGTTCATGTCCTCTTGGAGTTGTGCCATTGTTCATTAGCTTCTTTCTTGTCTAGTCTCTTTTGTCAGCCCCAGAGACTGATTTGGGTTGATCTAGGCGGTAGGATTGTAAAGGAAATCATAAGTAGGATTTCAAGAATCGAATGATAATAGCAGGCCAGCTTCAGGGTGTAAAATCCCTCTATTTTCTTTGTTAAAACGACGAATTTCTGGTTGTGGCTTTATCTCTTGGATTGTTCTTTGTTCAGAGATCTGCATGGATTCTGTTCTGACTGCTGATCATTAGAAGAGAGGCAAAGAAGAGCGGCAAGTTATTTCATTTACCACCATCACCACCAAAACAACAATTCTTGATAATTACAACACCCGATACAGAAGATTATTGTTTATTTGAGGATGTCTGTGAGGCCATGTTGGTTGACAGACAGACAGTGGTGGTGCTAGTAGGAGGAGAGTTCAAACTTGTCAAATGACCTGAGGAAGCCCAGAGCCGCATCTCTGGCCTGTTCCGGGGGAGGGGTTGAAGGTGAGAGTGGCTCGAACTCGACCTTCCACTCAGCAATGCATTTGTGGGACTCGTGCCCTTTGAGAGGGATGAAGGAGAAGGTGACCCTGTATGGATCGTACTTGTCCCTCAGGTCGCCGCCGATGACCCTGTACGTCACGGAGCGGCCGGGTTCCACCTTCTCTATCTTCTCCGTCGATTCCTTCACGTAGCTCTGCACAGCTGCACAGCACAAGGAGCAGTTTGAAGAGGCAGAGGAATTGGGGTTTTAGCTAACAATTGAATGGATGAATGAATGACAATGGAATTACCAGGTCCGAGCTGGAAGAGCCTGAGGCTGCCTGGGCTGCCGTCGCCTTGGATGTACTTGGCAAGGGAAAGCATCTGAGGGTTGATGTTGCTGATGACGTCGTTGTCTCTGTACATCTCCCACGCTCTCTGGGCTCCCATGTTCAGCTCCACTTCTCCTTTCAAGCTCTGCATCTCTCTTTGGTTTGGAGTGATGAATGGGAAATGAGAGGGGAGACTGAGTGGGCCGTATATATATAGAGGGAGGAGTGCTAAGACTTGGAATGTGGGCAATCAGACAAGTTGGTGATACTATTAAAATGAGAGAGAAACAAGGCAGAGAAGAAAGATCTTCCGCAATTCTCTCGATTCTGCAAATGAAAGGGAACTAATTCTATCTCCATCTCTAGCTAGCAGCTAGCTAGTCGTCATATGGAACATATATATGGGCCTGCCTGTCAACATATGCTATGCTATACAACAAAGCTGCAGAGGGGATCGGAAGGCCGCCCTTTTGCGCAGTGGAAGAATACAAGAGATCAGATATGCATCTTCTAGCTTCTTCTTGTTTTGTTTTTGGTTTGGTTTCTTTCTTTCGTACGTCGTTGTGTTCCATTGGAATGTGGGTGTGATGATATTAGGTCACGTGTCGTGGGTCACGGATATCATAACTGCTTTACTTGGCATTTGCATATGCATGGATATGGTGGAGCGGATGATGATGCCACGCCACTGTTGACTATCTTCTGTATTTCTATGGCCTTTCAACTTTATATGCACTTGTCCACATAGTGATAGTGATGGCAAATGGGTGGGGTGAGTCTAGTATCCGGATTTGATGACTAAGAGGTGTTTAGTTAATTGACTAAGTCCCCTTGGCAACCACATCTTTAGTTGATGGATTCGTGCTACCCGAACTGCAGATTGCTCCCGATCCTCCGCCAATTGCTTCTCTACTGCAGCTACTGCACGAGAGGCCTCACCCATCCTCTTCACTGCTGTCTGCTGATATCATCCGGACACAAGAATACACTGACTGCTTCACCACTTGCAAACGAACGAAGATCAGTAGTACCTTACTAGTATAATTTAAAACATATGCAATAATTTTTTATTTGTAGAAAGACACGGTCATCTCCGGATTTTTATAGTGATCGATACCGAGGGCCTCCAAAACGCTTCTTGCTTTAGAACCACCGATGGGGGCAGAAATATCCGACACCGAGCTAGAAGCTCTCGCCTTACTTGAAGTTGGGTCAATCAGCCTCTTTGTTAAGTCCTCACCCCGCCCAGCCTTCCGATGAAGTCTCTCGCCACATCAATCCTCCGAGAAAGTCGCGGTCAAGAGGAACCCCAACTTAACATCACCCGTTGACGTACCATAACTAAGATGCAAGAGAAACAAAAAGAAAACTAAGTACTACCCCACATGCAAGCAAATTCAGTAATGCTGGGGGAGGGGGACAAGATGTCGTATCGGACACGATCAAGTCTCCAACAGAGCCTCCAAGCTAATCTTTGCCTTGCCACCGCACGCTAACTAGCAATTTTTCTCTCAATGAAGGAAAGAAAGAACTTAGAAAAGGATGGAGTGAAGAGTGAAGAATGAAGAATGGAGGGAGAAACTATTTATAGAAGGATGAATGGAGGACAAACATGAAAGAGAACATTTCTCTTTTAAAAGTCTAAAGGTTTGTGTATTTTCCTAATGGTCTTTGACCAATATTCAAGAAAATTGCAGTCTTCAAACAGGCTCATGAAAATCAAGAAAAGTAAAGACAAAAGTCATAGGGAGGAAAATTCTCTCACCAATCTCAAGACTTGTGCCACTTTCCTAAAATTCTTCACCAACATTCAAACTATGCAGTCTGGCTTAATTGCAAGTTTGTCACTCGAATTGCTTAAAAATTTCACGTTTGCCACCCGAATTGATTTATTCCATTTATAGTCACTCGAATTAGTTGAACAGTCCAAGTATGGTCACTCTCCGTTAACCTCCGTTAACCTCTGTTAATGACGACCGTTAAGTGATGACGTGGCTAACAGAAAGACACAGTCAGCACATTTAAACATTAAAAAAAGACAACCTGACCCGCCAGCTCACCCTTACCCGCCCAGTCAGCCATTCTTGCCCAAACCCGCGAACCAGACCCAATTAACTGACCCTAAACCCAAACCAGTGACCCAACCCCCCCTGAAAACTAAACGCAGATGGATTAGGGCATTTCCCTTCTCCATCTTCATCCTCTCATCCTCCCTCCCGCGCCGCCTCTCTACTTTGCAAATCGTCGTCGAAGGGATGGAGGCCGCCGCCGCCGCGCCGCCGCCCTAAATCCCTCACCCCTCCCGCGAAGTTCTTCCTCCGCCGCGAAACCCTGAATCGAAGCGCGCTGCTGTTTTCCCCCTTTTGCAACCCCCATCGGTTTCTTCTCTCTCGACTCTTCGCTCGCCCAGTTCTCCGTACAGGCGGCATTTGAAACGAAACGACAACTTGGGAAAACCGTGATTTGAGAGTTTTCTTCTCAGCGAGGAATTCAAGAGCTTCTACTTCGCTAGTATCTTCCCGGTGACCTGTTTCTTGTTCAGAAACCTGATTTGGTGGCGGGTTTCTTCTTTTTGGGTAAAGAAAAGGAGGGTGGTCAGCAAAGAATGATGGACATGAGTAAGTTTGATGTGCATTTGAGATTGTGGGCGCTCAGGATTCCTCGAGAGCTCTGCAAGGTGGCCACTCGCCTCCTCAATGGGTAAGCAAGCAAGAATACGAGACTGCTGCTGTATTTCTTGTTGTTTGGCCTTGTTTGTATTTCAATGGAATTTGCAAAGTAGAGAGGCGGCGCGGGAGGGAGGATGAGAGGATGAAGATGGAGAAGGGAAATGCCCTAATCCATCTGCGTTTAGTTTTCAGGGGGGGTTGGGTCACTGGTTTGGGTTTAGGGTCAGTTAATTGGGTCTGGTTCGCGGGTTTGGGCAAGAATGGCTGACTGGGCGGGTAAGGGTGAGCTGGCGTGTCGGGTTGTCTTTTTTTAATGTTTAAATGTGCTGACTGTGTCTTTCTGTTAGCCACGTCATCACTTAACGGTCGTCATTAACGGAGGTTAACGGAGAGTGACCATACTTGGACTGTTCAACTAATTCGAGTGACTATAAATGGAATAAATCAATTCGGGTGGCAAACGTGAAATTTTTAAGCAATTCGAGTGACCAAACTTGCAATTAAGCCATGCAGTCTTCTAATAAACTCAACAAGATTAAGAGTCGGTACTAATATCGTGCAACCAAGCTTGGCACCAAAAATTTTAGATTTTCGAAGGCAAGGGGGGCAATTTATATACCCAACATAAAAAAATATTTTAATAGCGCCGGGGCCCACCACTGCACCGACAACTAGCGTCTACCAACCGGCGCCTACCAACGCAATATCATAACTTAACTCACAATTGCCCCCGGTAACGGGTTCCTCCATGTGTCGATGCCCGAGTCCACCAATGCATCATCCACCCTGAACCGGCGCCCCAGCTCCCTCCGGTGCATAATCTCTCCTCCCGCCTCTCGGTACCTGCTGCCGCAGTATTGCCCCCAGGCTCGGATTTGCCCCTAGCACCAGGCTCCGCCTCCCGCCCAACACTAAGCTTCTGGCACCCGGGCCCACTATCGCTCCATATCTAGGTCCGCACCGGCGCACTATTGCCCCCGGATTCGGTCTTACCCCCAACACTCGGTCTCACCTGACGCCTCTTACCCGGCTCTCGTGTCGGCAATCACTCCCGACCCCTGACGCCCTGGCCGACTATCGACTCCGGCTCTTGGTACCTGCCGGCGCACTATTGCTCCCAGGCATGATTTTGCAACCGCATGCAAACTCCGGCTCCCGGCACCAGGGTTCATTTTCCCTCCCGGAGCTTGGGCCTACAATCGCCCCCCGCTTCCGTACCCGCCAGCGCACTATTGTCCCGTGCTCGGTTTTTTACTCGACGCCCTAGCTGGCCATCGCTAGGGATGGCAACAAAACCCGAACCCACGGGTACCCACCCGACCCAACCCGGTCAACGCGGGTAAAATCCGTGTTGACGGGTTTTGGGCCGGGTTTGGGTTTAAACCCGTTCACTATTCATCGGGTTGGGTTTGGGTTTAGGTAAACCCGACCCGTGGGTACCCACCCACCCATATAATTAATTTTTTCGGTATATTTAATATTCTAAACAACTAATCTTATTTATGTTTGTGGAGACATGTCTAATTTTTTCTTTTTAATTGTGTAGAATGAAGTTGATGTTATGGAGTGGAGAGTAAAGAAACTTAATTGAAAGGAAGAAGCTTTCAATTAAACATGTTATTTATGGATAATTTGTGATTTGCTTCAATTTTCTTGAGTTTTCTAGATTGGTGTTGAACAATTTGTATAGTTAATTTGTGATTTACTTGAATTTTCTAGAATGGTGTTTTATATAATGGATAATTTGTATTGAGAGATTGATATTTGACTTTAATTTTGATAAAAACTTGTAATTGTAAATTTTTTACGACAAAACCCGTGGGTACCCATGAACCCGCGGATACCCAACGGGTTGGGTTGGGTTTGAGTTTTTCAAACCCAGTGGGTTTTACCCCGGGTTTTTTTCAAAGATAAACCCATGGGTTTGGGTTTGGCAAAACCCGACCCAACCCGACCCATCGCCATCCCTAGCCATCGCTCCCGGCCCCGACGTCTAATCCCACTGCCGCCCCCATGAATGAATTGGCCCCCCGCCAGGCTCCCGGGCTCCGCCTCCCGCATGGCTCCAGGTCCGCAATCGCACGCGCCGGGGCACACTATCACTCCTGTCTTACGATACCAGCCGGCGCACTATTGCCCCGGGCTTAATTTTTCCCCAACTCCGCTTTGACTCCCAGAGTCGGGCTCGATTTCACCCCCGGAGCTCGGGCCGACTATCGCTCCCTTACCCTTGGCGCCTAGGCCCACTTTCGCCCCCGTGCTTGATTTTGCCCCCGACTCCCGACGCTCGGGTCCGCTATCGCTCCCGGCGCCAGGGCCCACTATCTCCCCCGGCTTCTAGTACCCGTCGGCGTACTATTGCCCCTGGGCTCCACCTCTCGCTCAGCTCCCTGCGCTCCAGCCTGCTATCAGTCACGACTCCCATCGGCCCCGTTATCGCTCTCTGCTCCTGGCACCGAGATTCACAATCAATCATACCTCCATATGTGGCATGTACTCTCTTTAACCAGTCTCCATGTGGCAAGAGTGTTCTCATAAGGCAAAGGCATGGTTGACATGTGTACAACCATATAGCGGGCGTAGGCGACATATGTCTGATGACGTGTCCATTCTCGCCTTCGACGCTAACATTTGTCCTCCCTTTGTCCACCCAGATAAACACTATATAACAAGTTCATACTCTCCAGAGGAAGAAGGTAAGGCAAGAGACCGGGGGAAGATCCTGAGAGCGCCCACTACCATCAGTAACTCTCATCTCCCTGCCTCACCTCCTGCAAACACTTTATGAACTATTCTATCCCCCACACCAGAGACTAACTTGAGAATCGGAGGGTGCCCCGCCGACATCTGTCGGAGTGTCCTTTTTGTAAAAAGCGATCGGAGGCAACATCATGAAGAAAGGTTACGATGAAGTGGCACATCAAGCCGCTTCGGTGCCCAAGATAGAAGAAGTTGATATCGGCTACAACCCCGACATAAACACATACCCTGCCCCAAACTAGTACTAATCAGGTAATATTCGTCCATCACAAATCAGATCGGATACTATTCGACGGGATAGAGTGACACCACGCCAACATCCTTCCTTCCTTATTCACCATATTTCCATTATATTGTTACAAGAATCTCAAACCCACTCACACAAATATCACAGTGCGTAGAGCATAGCAGGCCAAATCTCTCAAGTCTAATAACATGACAAAAAGTAAGGATAAATTGCAAATTTGGTCAATGGATTACTAAACAGTTCATTATTTGCCATTATTTTTTTTTTTCATTCATAATAATTAAGATTACTTCAATAGTTCAAATTTGGTTAACGAAAATATCTTATTACGTCAATTTCCACTAACAGGGTCAAATTTTAGCTGATGTGGTTAACGAAAATGTCTTATTACACAATTTTAACCACATCAACAAAACATTGACGCATTTATCCAAAACTAACAAAAAATACGATCAGTGACCAAACTTAAATATTGAAGCATTCTAATTACTACAAATGGAATAAAAAAAATCTTAACCACAAACGTCAAACAATTTAATAATTCCAACGACCAAAAAGTAAGAGTGAGCTTCAAACATCTTCAAAAATCTTATACATCTCACTCTTTTTATGTTTTGACCAACTTCAAACATCTTCTCATCGGATAACTGCATCCTCCTGACCTCCTCTGCAAGTGGGAACCAAACTGGAACGCCTCCATCCAACTACTCTTCATCCACACAAGCAGCTCATGACTAGAGGACCAAGATAGTGATTCTCAAATTTCTCCCCCTAGATATTATCTATTTCAACGTTCTAGATCTTTTATTATGGTTAGGAATGGCAATGAGCAGGTCCGGGCGGGTATTTCAATACTCATATCCGAACCGTGGCAGGTCGGGTACATGTCGGTTAATTTATCATGGGGCACAAATCGGGGCAGGTCAACCCAATAAGTATGTAATTTATGCGAAAAACATTTGAAATATTCGTTATTTCATTAAAAGACCAAGAAAGAAACCATTATATGATAAAATGTTGTTGTTATTAGAGAAATTGAGATTTTCACATATTTACAACTTCATTATAGCTAAAATATAATGTAATAAGAGAAAACTCTTAAGTAATTTGACTAAGATTACATGTAATTTAGACATGAATGGATCAAGAATGGGGCGGTTCAAGGCAGGTCGGGTCGATGAGAAGTAACCATGCCCACCCCATCTCAAAACAGGTCAGGTCGGGTAAATCGGGCCAGATCAAAATTGTCATCTAATTATTGCTGTGGATACCTAGGATGTCCTCACAAGCCCTACTATACTACTATCAACAGGGGTAGTAAGCCCTACTATACTACTATCAACAGGGGTAGTAATACTGATAACCACTAATAATGGACACAGGAATATTAACATCACAATCTAAGCTGACCGCCGACCGAAATCATTCATGAAAATGCAAATCCACCCACCAAGGAGCATAAATCCTGTTTCCACTACCAACCCAGGAATCTTCCAAACCTTCTTTTTCACAGACCAACCATTTTACTGCCAACTCTTTATTCCCGATCCACCAACACTATCAAGTTGCACACTCAATAACGTATAATCCTCTTCCTTTTCCTTCTTTTTTAGGATGTAGGTTGGCAATCCGATCCAACTCGTCATTTTCACTATCCCAACGACCAAAACACAAGGGCCAAAACCAGGTTATAGAACGCCCAAATTCCAGTTATGCGCATAACTTCATTAAACCAACAGACATTAAATAATTGACAGACGTTCAAGCTCATATCATACAGAACCACAAATATGTATATGGAGTTCTAAGTTGCGAATGCAAGGTTGCTTTACGGGCAGCGTTACAGCTGATGTTCATGCTTCTCCAAAAAGGTTAAAACCTGACTATGCTTGTTTGTTGTGCGTGTACTCTGTGAACGACTGAGAGAATTGTTGACACCAGCACTTCTAGCAGGAAGCGCGCGGCAGAAACCTGATTGTCTTGCCGAAAAACACCACAAAAATGGCCTGCAACGACAAACCACAAAGCTTAAGATTCAGTCCGACATGCAACGTGAAGCGTATGATAACGAATACAATCATCTTGCAGAGCTCTGCAAACATATCCTGAGGATTTGCAGGCTGCTTTACCTCAAGACAGCGGTAAATGAATCAGATAAAAGTTTGGTTTGATTCACTCACCAGAGTACACTGATATAACACGTCAATCAGCAGGCGGCTGTTTCGCTCAGCTCTGAACTCAACATATGATGGAGAAGTATATCAACTCTCTGACTTCGAGTTTTAGTGCTGCAACAACCACAATTGATTTCTTAGTTCTCGTATTCAGAAACGATAAACAAAGATAGCAGCTTTTTCTTAGATGAATAGACCAAATAGTGCGTACCCTAAATATCGGGAACGGGGCTTTGTGGTGCTGGGCTCCTGGATTGCAAGTTACAAAACGTTTATCAAGGTTATGCCAATGTTGACCATCAAGTTCTATTTCTCATATCTCATATAAACAACAAGCTTAAGTACCTCATCATTCTCTTCTGATGCTTCAAGTTCCATTTCAGCGAAGAACGCCTCCAAGACAAAAGCAACAACCTAAATAGCCATTGAAATTTACAATTACACACGTGATAATACCACTAAGAGGTGAATAATGAGCATGACTGTTAAACAATATGCAGCTGAACAGAGAACAAGAATATTGTTTCTTTGATACTAACATTTGTAACCTACTATGAAATTTTCAATGCATAAAGAGAAAACAATTGTAAATCCCGAAAGTGAATTGTACCAAACAGCGCATACCAAATTCAAGAGCAACAGAACAGTAATTAGGTAGAAGCTGATGAAATAAGCAACAGTCCAACGGCTCCCCGTCAATTCAGTGTAACTCTGGAATTAAATGAACAGATGGTTAATTATACAGAAAAATACTTATTAAGAACAGTCAATTCGAAAATTTTCAATCTTGCAAACATCTCCCAGGAAATGTCTGTTAATGAATTTAGTGCTTGTTTTCTATAATCCCATTCTGGTTCACCAAAATAATAAACATTACTACACATCTCCAATTACTTGCCAGATGCTAAATGAAACGCTGCTACTAGGCAATATGACTAATTGAAGACAAAAAAGGGCCTCACTTACAGGACTATAGAAAGGACTTCAGAGAATTCATTGTCTGAGAATTTGAGAGCAATAGGATACATTTTCCCATATAAAATTAACAGGTGAATCTTCAGTTTAGCAACTAAGTTGAAATTCATTAATTGATAGCATTTCATGATGCATCTAATGTTTGGTAATTTATTTACTGAAACATAGATTGGTAATTCTACTTTCTACAGTCCATTTACAGAAGATGAAAGAGCTTATCCCAGAATTTGCTTATTCATAGGGTGGAAATAAAGATTAAACAGAAGGCGTAATTGGACTAGATATAAGGTATACACAGTAAATAAACGTAATTGGACTAGATATAAGGTACACACAGTAAACAAGATGATGATAATTGTGAAACCCACAATTGCGAAAATGGTGACAGAAAATGCGTAATAGTGACAATACCTGCATCCAGACTTGCCAATTTCCCATAACCAGCAGATTAAAGAGGGTCACCATCCCATTCGGATAGTCATTAAAATTGAAAAGCAAGTAACTGATATTAGTCAAGAAAAACTGGGGATGAAGTAAGTTCATATGCCAAAGACAGTTGCAGGAATTGTCAAAAATTGAGCACCTCCAGAACTGTATATCAAGATCCAAGTGCATATGTTGGTCATATTTATATTAAGATGAAAAATATTGGCTTGCATTCTCAGGTTCCAGAGGATACTCATTTCCAGCAAGATCCGTGGCCTCCAAGTTGGGATTCCCAGCATTAACGATTCCGCCAAAGATCTAGAAAATGAAAAACTATTAGTTAAACAGTTCACAACTTGTTTCACAAATATAATAGAACATACACCTGGAATGTCTTTAAGATCCTGAAACTAAAACAAACGGCAATCTTAAGACCACCAGTAATCACCCAAATATTGGTACATACACTAAACACTTAGCTTGAGCTATAGTTAAATTAGCGTCAATAGGTTCCAGATTATCCTCCCAAGTTAATCAAAATATAAAACAATGCTGTGCAAGTGAAAACGTGAACAGCACCAGTTTCCATTAATGGAAACAGATTATATGTGTGGAGGATCGAATCACATCACTTCCCTCCCTATGACTGGAAATTTACAAAAAGATTGTTGTTATGCCCCAACATAAATATACTGGATAACCAGCAATCTGAAATGAGTAGCCAGCATACCTGTACCCCAAGAGAACAATATATGCATAGAATGCAAAATATTGTTCCCAAATATGGCATCAGACTTGGAATGAGGGTTAAAAATGTGGCAAGAAAAGCCCGATAAGTTCGAACATACATCAACAGCCTTATTAATCTCAACATTCTGGCAAGTAGGAGGTAACGAATCCTGAAAACAGGAAACAAGACCATAATGTATTTGTAAACTGAAAGACAGGATGCAAGAAGACAATAAAAACACACCAAAAGGGAAGGTAGAAGAGCAACATGATCCTCAAGGTAATAGTACATACCATTCTCCATTCGTGAAAAATGTTAGACCATCTGGAGTTGCAAATGTTATAGTTTCACCAATAACTGCACACCAATGGTTCAGAAAAATTGTTGGTCTTCCATGTGCAGGACATCATATTCAAAATAATCCTTTCCAACCAAAGATAATCAGGAAATTAAGAAAAAATAGTAGCTACTATGGGTAATAACTAAACAAATGATTATATTGATTCCTTACCGATGACAAGTGTGATGAGAAAATCAAAACGATTTTGGCCATCCCTCCAATAGTTCGAGAACCCATATGAGTAAACTTTCAGGGCCATTTCTAGCACATACATCCACCCTGATGTACCAAAAGTAAGCCATTAGATAGTGGTTCAGCATGACAATACGTGAAATTTCACACAATTGAGTGGCATGGATCCATGAGTGCATACACCCCCTAGTTTCCCTGACTACAAGTTGGGGAAGAGATTTGAACTTCTTTTTTTGCAGTACTGAATGATTATTAAACTACTATTAATACAAACAAAGTTGGCCTCCAAACCAAACACCAACTTTTGCAAGAGCTACCGACAATTCATCTGCTTCACTTAAATGTGTGTTGCCTGATTCTACTTGAGCTTACGTATTCGTTTGGAAAATGCCTACGTCCTGCCACTGAGCATATATACACTAGCCTGGCTCATGTATCCCTTTTGACTAATGGAGCCATCTGTTTCTTTAAAAACTCTGTTGTTTGAATTAAAATAATAATTGAAAAAAATCAAGCAGGCCCAATTTCCCTAAGAATCACTGGCTTTGCGGTAGAGTTCAATTGGCTTACGAGAAGATAAGGGTCTTTGTAACCACACCGTTACAATAACCAATGTTCATAAGAAAAAACCACCTTCCCAAAAAAAAACAAAAAAAAAACAGGAAGAGTAAATGATCCAGCTAGCTCTTACCAAATACAAACTCCGCAATTTGCCACGCTTTCTGACCAGAATTGTCTGCTATATCAAGCTGGAAAAAAGTTTACAAGCAAGGTTCAGAGAAGACTTGCAGTAACAAGAAAAGGCATCTCAAATGGTCAGCATAAACCATACTTCAGAATGTTATGATATTATTACAAGATTAACATAAGTATCTTCAGACAGCAGCATACAACTAAAAAATCATCGAAGCGGGAGCTAGCTCAGGTTGAGAAACTCTGATGGAAGAAAGGGTCATCACCCGTAAGTCCTTTGTCATCCTGGTGTAATGAAGGATGATGTAGGGCCAAAGTTCCAATCTCCATTTAAGAATTAGTTCACTCTAGCAGGATGAATGTTCCATAATACTATCTTTTGAGCAATTCATTGGAATATCAATTACTTAAGGTATCACCTAAGCACAGAATTTGCATCTTGACCTGGATTTGTTAGAACAATAACTAACAGATAGTCGCACATTCCCTAAAAATGGATATGAAATAAAGCAGATGGATTCTTTCAGGACTACCCACGAGGATGCAACATTAACCCAACTCCTTGTAAGACGTCGGAAGGAACCATGAGAAAATTCAACATGGAAATTAACTAGATATTATACAAAGTACCTGGTACATTGACTATGTGCAAGTTTCCATTTGACTAACGAAGTCATTTATTCAAGAAAGTTTTTCGTATGCAGATTTCCATTAGCTAAACAACTAATTTCACCTAAGCAGAGTTTACATGAGCATGGAGGAATTCTCAGTTCAATGTTGGAAGGAGAAGGAAAGTAAGGCAGTGTTCCTTCAAGATAGAGATCTCTATAAAGCTTATGCATACCGTTGTTTCGATAATAACAGCAACAAGATTGACCACAAGAATGAAGGATATTATGTAGCCAAATACGGGGCTTCGCACAAAGGTCTTCAGCTTCTTTGAGAATGGTGCATGATAGACTGTAGGGAAGTACTCAAAGCAAGATGCCTGCAACCAGAAAGCAAAGTGTAGATAAAGCAAAGTCGAGAGGCAGGGAGAAGGTCCTTGTTGTAGAGATTTTGAAGAGAAAATACTTACAACATCTTCCTTTTGGAATCTCAAAGCAATAGCATGGCAGAGGTCGGCAAATTCATCTAAGTTTATCTGCTTGTGGGAAAGACCAAAATAAGAAATCCAGTGACAGAAAATCATTACATGAAAGGATGAAGTCCAGACAAAGTGATACCATACCACTTCTCAAACATAAAAAAGTACTGGGTAACCCAAGGAAGCAGTACACATATTTTCCTCAAGGTGCATCGAGGAACCCACGTGTAAACACCACATAATTGACAGAAATGCCGAAAAGTGAAGTCTGATCAAAATTGTAGCTGGAAGAATGAATATACCTTAAAGTCACCACTATCATCCAGTTCACTGAATATTAATTCAAAATCTTCTCTTGATATTTTTGGCAAAGTCCTACGGAAATATAAAATGGAAGTCAATCAGAGAAATAAATAAAAAACTGAGTAACAATTAAACAGGTACAAATGGCTATGATATTCATCAGCTTAATTTGAACTTGAAAGTAAAAGTAAAAGCAAAGAACATATACATATAATCACAAACATGGTGAACGGAAATAGTACCTGTACTGATTAAGCTCTTCAAACAAACGGATGCATTGTTCTTTATCAAGATGACCAACATTCTGTCCCATAAATAACAATGAGCTCCATTAGATATACGGAAATTGGAGATGTGAGGCGGTGTCATAAAAAGGAAAACATTGGGGGAGACAGTGTCCCGTAAATAATAATAACAAGCCATTTAAACCCAACAGACAATAAAGTGAAAAAGACTCTGGAAGCGAAAGAATACCATAAACAGTAATCTTGGTGTCATATCTATAAAGTAAGGCTAGCACATACACCAGTTATATCATTATGTTCCAGACGTTACCCTTACACCAGTTATAATATGGTTATGCACCAGAACAAGATTATGCAACAAGATCTTGCAACTTAGACATAATTTCTTTCAAGTTATCTGCTTGGTAACATTTGGTACTTACGCCTTTATTTTTCCTTGAGTGAGAGGTCAATGATGAGAATCAAGAGTAACTATCCAATCCAATTGCAGCACCATTTTGACCAATGAACTTTTCTATTCAGGCCCCTTAACATAAGTTCAAATGCCAGGATTGATTTAAAAGGTTGCTAAGTTCAAGGCCCAAAATGGTAGTTTATCCTACTTTAATAAAGACCTCCGGTGGAGAATATTTGAAAATCCATAAAACATGCAGATTTTGGCTTAATATATAGATCACGCAGACATATAGACCTCATAGAACAATAAAGTCACAGTCCCAAAAAAGATAAATGAGAATATTCTTCGTAGATAACAACACTCGTACTTACAAACTTATCAATGAGACTGAAGGCTTTCATCAATGTTCTTTTCCTCATGTTGTCTGCCTCGGCAACTTGTTTCACGAGCTACACCAAAAGCAGATTATGACTTTTCTTTGTATGGCAAGAAACCACCTTCAGTTCGTGAAACCCAGCCCCCATGAATAGCACAAAAAACTTAAGCAAGCAGGTCTGATGGCACGACTTTAAGCAGGCATAACAAAAACTACTGATCATCCCACCTAGATAATCCAGAGAAAGAAGAAATAATCACATCAACCAAAGGGAGAGAGACTACTTAAAATTTCTTCAACAGCATACCTGATTTTTGAAGCTATCATATACAACGGCAAGAATCAAGTTGGTGACGAAGTAGACTCCCAGCAGCACATAGAGGACAAAGAAAAGGGCGTACCAGCGTGAAGCTCTGGAAAAGAGAAACAATTAATCAGCTGAACTATTCTGTGTATATGAATACTGACACAAGCGGGCAGCTAAGAGATACTAGATCCTAGGTGGTTAAAAACAATCACTGGTTACATAAAGAGACGGTTGAAAAGTTGCAGAAGTATAAAAAATCTCACAAATTTTGCATAAATAGACTATGGTCCGAGGCATCTCAAAGAAAAAGACAGAAAAAAGATATGCATTCGTCTGCACATACAAGATTCCAAAACAGATCACCGCTATAGTCACTTCTTACTGACAGAATTATGATAAAAAGTTGAATCTGCCCATGAACCAGAATAGGATTTGGCTTTGTGCGTGCATCTTGGCGAGTCTTTTATGGTATTGTCCAGGATCCAATATGATACATCTGGAACTTATTAATCTTTCGGAAAGGTCAACTACTATGCCTATCTGTCCTGGTGGTGCCACAAGACTTGCATCACTAAGGTACGATACCCAAAACGTTTGTGCAAGAACATTGATAAGGAAGCTGCTCATGGCAGACTTACTTATATGCAGGTATCCAAACATCCGGGTTGTTTGATGTTGTAAATAAGACAAACATCTGGTACAATGTGATTGCATATGACGTGAAAACTGTGTTCCCCTGCTCAGTATCTTCAAACATGACAAAGGCCACCCAACTAGAAAACAGAAGAAACAGAAGCCATAAAGCCTGCAATTCAAGGAAACCAATCAGGGTTTAGGAGATTATAGCTGAAGATTACAACACATGTGCTTCAGAATTGCAGGATATATTGGCCATTCGAAAGAAAGGATTGAGAATCCTAGGAAATACATGTTTCAACCGAAAATCTGACACTGATTAAGGACACAAAATAAGTTAAAGTAGTAAGCCAACTGACCAAGATGTTTATGTATGTTCTCAGCATTCCAGCCAGAATCACGATACTCTTCTGTAAGTCCCTGATGACATCAGAAAATATAATGTCAATTCAAGTCATCTGATCGTCATTAAACATATCATGCACTTTCAAGATTAAACCAAAAACTATAAGCAGAGAAGCAGTAACCACATTACTCAAGTCTCCTAGGAATATCTGCATTCTAGAAGCCCAATTTAAGTATCAATGTATCAAGCCAGTTGCAATCGCAATTATTTTCTCACAACAAAAAAATCATAAGGTATTAGTAAGGTTAAAACCCCACAAAAATACAAAGCTACAAGACCTACACAGAAAGAAGCCTCGTATGCATAAATTAATCAAACCTGAGGTAATAGACACCAGAAAAATGGAAGAGCACTGAATAAAACTGCACTTCATTTGCATGGTTCAAATCATACAGCAAGCAATATCTCGTACATAATGAACAACCAGCTATATCCTCAACTTTTTAGGACCATCATCATAATGACGGCGGCACATACAGGTGTCATAACTCTATCATAAGAAAATAATGCTGTCACGATGTTTTCCTTATAACAATAATAGAATTATAGACGAAAGATTTGTATATTAATTTGCCTTCACATCTCAAATCACGAGTCTGAGTTTTCTCAGAGAAAATCATAGTATAAGAACATAATACTCTCACGATGTTTTCCTTACAACAATAATAGAATCATAGACGATAGATTTGTATATCAATTTGTCCTCATGTCAAATCATGAGTCTCGGAGAAAATATAGGAAACGCGCAACCAATTGGAACAGTATATTCCATTAATGTTACCATGGGAACAATGGAAAATGTTAATTTTAGCACAGCATACCTGATACTCAGAATGAGAAAGACAACTCGTATATAAGGCGCAATCCTGACAGGAAGAACACTGAAGGCCACAGGTGACAAGTAGAGGCCATAAACTAGTAAATCAGCAACCAGAATTGCAAGGCAAACAACCTGAAATGAAGAAGCTGCAATATTAGATTTTTCTCCAAAGGTAAGGAATAGAATTAGAGATAGCTGATCTGCAAAACAAGTAAAAGCTTTGGAAGGATGAAAAAACATATTTGATGTTTCGTCTTATAATCGCATGCCAGACATAGCTCACATCTGACACTCACCCAAAACGCTTTTCGTATTCTTGAACAAATATCAAGAATAAGAAACAAGCATGCAGCTTGACTTAAAAAAGGAAAGAAACCCCAGAATGAAAGGAGAATCGGAGCATAAGGATTAAATACCTTAAACCAATGGAAAGGATTTTTCCAGAATATCCGGGGGCCTTCATATAAAAGTGGAAAGAAAATGTGAGCTATGAGTATAATGAAAGTTATGACCTGCACAGTAAAGCAGAAATTCAGTTAGTTCCATAAGGCCAGATCTCAAAAGTAAACATGTCCGAGGAACCAAGAGATGACAAACAGTATAAAGTGTCTGAAACTAGAAAAGTCACTGCAAACACATTCCAGTGTATCGAAATTTTAGACGTGTGTCAGAGGTCATTGTACCAGGTTCAGAAATTGAGTTACTTGCGTTATGCTTTCAGTTTCAGATCAGAGTAGCAGCAAGTAAGATGGAGTTCATTTGACTGAATCTTCTATATAACCTTATATGTTTAGAACCTTCCAATTGAATGAAATATCAGCAAAAGGTTGCTGGCTTAGAAAATTCAAGTATGAATACTCAAAGGAAATCAAACACTGCAGATGCATTCAATCATATTCAAATTCCATTTGCATATCTGTAATCATGGTTGCTGAAACAAATATACAATTTTGCATCACTCGCTCTGGATCGCACCAAGTAATAAGTGGTTCAATCTGGAATTTCGTAGTACTTCAATGGAATAGATGAACATAAATTGTCCAGAATGTCGCCGGTTTCCAATTAGAACTTCTACCCAATCAGCTGTAGGCATGGTAGAAATATTCTAGCATAGTAATATCTTGAGGGGAGGAAGTAAACACAGGTGAGCGGTAAGAAAATTTCAACTACCGGAGTAAACAGAAAAATCCTCCCCTTTATATAATTATTATAAAAATACAGAACATTTGGATAAGCAGCTTTAACTCCCAACAAAATAATTTCAGAAGATGGGGGAGATTATCTATGGATGTAGCCACTAATGGTTGCAAGCTATTATGGGACAACATGAACTGTAAGCAAACTGCCATTAGGCTTGAGGAATTGTCTGAGTATGAAAAACACAATGATGCAGACAACACTCGTATTACACTCGACGAATTCTTTTGTCACCTCTGGCTCTGAATACCGCATCAACCTCCTTAGAGCTATTATTAACACAATGGACCCTATAAAATCAGCCGGCTCGGAAGAATTACTTAGAAAGAGCTCTCTGGATCTTACATGATAAACGGAACCCAAGCTCACAGGTAGAGGAATGCAGCATGGCAGAAAACGGAAAATACGCCAACTGAAAAGCGTGTTCCTCATACCTCATAAATAAGGGTCTCCAAAGTGTTCAAGTAAGGCAGCTGTCCAAGATAGAAGTAACCTCTGTCTTTGCAGCAATCATCAGCACAATTTGCACACCACAGCGGTTTCTGGACCAGGAACAAAAGCAAGTGATGGAAAGTCAATTACCGTAAGCTCCATTTCAGCAGTGTAAAGGTTAAACAAAGGAAGTTGCAGGCGGGAACACCAAACCTCCAAGAAGTTCAAGAGAATGAGAGCAAAGTAATTAAGCGTCCAGATGAAGTCGAACTTGATAAACACGAAGTAGTACTTGGCAGCAGTTCCAAAGCTTGAATGGTCAAGAATTTGCTCAGGCAAACCAACGCCATCTTCCGCCTGCAAAATTGAGCGCCGCATTCTTTCTCAAACACAAGAATAAGAAGCCGGCATTACCAGAACTCAATCGAAGACCAAGCCGACTAAAAACAATTTATGATCACAAGCAAAGCGGGGGGAAAAAAAAGACAGAAAGGACATCCAGATTCAAATCAAAGGAGGCGGCATGGGAGTGAGTGAGGGAGAGAGGGGAAGGAAACCAGATCAACGAGAGCAGCGGCCTTCTGGAAATTGGAGCCGTAGGTGATGGCGTCGGCGCGGCGGTAGAAGTGCTCCGGCCGCTGGTAGCTGGAGTCGCTAGTCTCTCCCAGCAGAGGACTCTCCATTCTGTCCCTTCTCTTCAACAGGAGGGAGTAGTGGCAGTAGAATTCAGAGATTCAAAACAGGAAGCGAAGAGAGAAAGGATCGGCAAGCTTCCATGGACTTCCTTTCGCTCAATCAGTGTAGCGAGCCCGCCATTGCCAGTACCGTTTCCGTATTGCACTTGCTAGATTTGTTCGTTATCGTAAGTGAAGGATGGCGATGGCGATGGCGATGGCGATGGTGAGGTCGGCTGATGAGTGATGAGCGTTTGGATCTCCACCGGGCTCCCACAGACAGCGGAACACGTGGTGGCGATTTCGGTTAATTGTTGTGTTTAATGGATCAGTGAGGAATTAGACTCCGAGACCGAGTGAGCACCGTGTCTATCCAGTATCCACTACTCATTTGAACTCTCTCCCTCCCTCCCTCCCTCGACTTTCTTCGTGTATCTGTCTCCGTCGTCATAATTTAATTGCTATTTCGCTGTCTTCTGTGAAATGGATCGTGTCAGTAACTAAAAGTTGAAAGGAAAGAAACAAAAAAGAAATGGATCGTGCGTGGCGTGTAATTAGGAGAAATTATTAGGTACACCGGGAGTAATTGGTGATGTGGTACTCCCGGCGAATCAAAGCATGCCACATGTCCATCTATTTTATTATAAGTTAATTAATTGAGCAATTTCCATATTAATTAACAAAGCATGCCACATGTCCATCTATTTTATTATAAGTTAATTAATTGAGCAATTTCCATATTAATTAACTAGTTTTGTGCCCGCCCGATGGGCGATGAGTTCATTTGTTTGTACTTTTTCTTCTATTATTTGTCATTTTTTCAATGGTATCATATTCCTACTTTTCATATTTATTTATGATTGTACTCTAGGTTTTAATGATGATCAATAATAAAGTCAAACAACGTTGTAATTTCATCACTGCTTGGAAAATATTATTCATGACCATCAGATCTTTAATTGACCAACAATTGTCAACTTCGTAAGTTGTACATGGTTTAAGCTCGTGTACGCCACCTTATCGTACTCCTATAGAGTTGGTATTTAGACCATGAATTAATGGAGTTTGGCACATGATGTTATACCATATTCTCTAATAGGTGAAAAACAGTCTTTAATTCTCTAATCCAAATCGTACAATTCATTTTATGAAAAATAGTAACCACCGATTCTTATTTGTCAAAATATATTAACATATAACTAATAGGTATGAATGAAGGTGCATATTACACCTCGAGTGTATGCTAGCCTTTTCCACCATTACATCAATGTACAACCAAACTATTCTGCTATGCTTCTTACCTTCAACATTGTACGAATTATATCAAAGCAAATGTTAGTTATGGAGACACTTTGTCTTCACTTCACATTATCCTCCAATATTTAATATGTGACTAACTGTAACTGGAATTGTGTGATAACTTAATACAAACATAAATGTGCTCTGTTGTGCAGTCAGTATAGTAACTGAATTTACAGGACATCGTCATGATATGATCCTGCGTTGGTTTTACAGGACACCGGTCCAGTACGTCTCACCCTAGTATACATGACATCGATTAGGGTATGATCCGCAATGGATTTATAGGACACCCGTCTAGGTACGATCTGTGGTGGTATGCATGTCATCTACTATACTACCCGAGGAGTGTATGACTTGGCAAATTAAGATGTAAAATGCAAGGAACCTAACCATGCATGTGATTGAATCATTGTATAAATATAACTTATGATGTGGTTAAGTGATGAGTTTCTATTATGTGATATATGAAATGTGCATGTCGATGATGATGGTTTTCTATGGTGTTTTATACAATGATTTAAGATTGGATTATATGATGTTTTGCTATGTTGAGACAGGGGTTACATGGTAATGCCAGTATGATGTAATATTTGATGCATACATGTTTAAACATTGAGTTATCAAGAGACTGGGTGATGGTCCATATGTTGTGATGTATGAATTCTTTGAGTTTGAGATGATGAATGTGATATGACATGTGGTGATGAATGGATGTTTATTTGACTGAATAAGATATATCATATCGGATGTATCTTGACAGTTAAGTTAAGCCAGTAAGGCCTGAGAAGTGGGTGACGGGAAACTGAATACTCCATGTTTTGCCATGGTCAATGAGAGGGACAATAAGTCATTTTGAACTATACTCTTAAAGGTAACGGAAAAGATATAAATCATTATCTTATGAGTAAGGTTATCAGGCGAGTATAACTAGTTACTAAAAATAGTAATAGTAATATATGTATTAGGGTGTCACATTAAGTAAGGATTAAAATAGGTATTTACATATCAACCATCATATATCCAATAGTTTAAGGTGTTATTCATCTGAATATGACTCAAAGTTGCACATCTACACTCATGTAGGAAAAAGAAAGGAACTTATGTCAAACAATAAAAAGAGAAAACAAAGGAATTATAATTACATTAGGAAAAAGTAAAGACAATGTGTTTTATAATTGTGCATGAAAGAATATTTAATAACGTACGAAAAATGAAAAGAGAAAGAAGTTGGAATAACATAAAAGAAAAGATAATAATATTTTAATATGCAAGAAATGCCAATTTCAATCCTAAAAATGACAAATGCATTATGTATATGTACATGACTTTTTTTTATAACTTCTTTCACCAATTGGTCACAAACATATTTAAACCATATGACCATAATTCAATTTTGAAAAATATACAAAAAACTTTGGTGACCATTGGTGTCTAGTGATATTCTTAAACATATGAAATTTTGTCTATATATAACTGTAGCAGATGAATGAACTATGTTGATATATTTCAGATATTTATAGCAAGTATTTATAGTAGTATTTTCTAACAAATTGCAACATAACTACATTGGTTCACATATTTATAGTAGTTCGTACAAACAAAATGTTAAATTCTTCGTGTTCTAGAAGACGGAAGAAGATTATACTTTACTTTTCATATTTCAATTTTAAAAGAAAATCACATGTCAAATTATGTAAAAGTTTACAATTGTGTACCAACTAAATTTATGTTTTTCGGATTTTTTAATTATAGTTTGAGCTTCTAGGTTGCATGATTAAATCATAGTTATGATGATTGATATACATGTTTTGTTGTGGTTAGTAGCATCAAGTATACTTTATCTTGGTGGTTGAACATTTGAAATGATGATAGTTTGACCTCATAGGTCATAGGTTCAAATCTTGGTGATGATGATTGATATGCATGTTTATTTAGTTTTATTTAAGGTAACTAATAACTTAAAATGTTAAAACTGACAAAATGACATGGAAAATTGTGGAGCTTTCGTTGTCCTACGTGCCAAAAACTTTCTCCACAACGGCCATAATATAAGTTATAAGATAAGATAAGATAAGATAAGATTGAACCACTACTTCCCTTCCTCGCACTCCCCCAATTCCAATCTCCTCCGTTCTTTTCTTTTCAAGGAATTTATACGGCGGCTCTACTAATCGATGCCGCCAAACAATCTGGCGGAACTCCTCTCCGGCGTCAACATCGCCCAGCTACCCATCACCGGTTGCGCTCTCCACCCCGCGAAATCCATAAAGATTTCGAACCCACTACCTATTGATAGACCAATAATTGCACATGTTTTTACGCCTATTCTTGAGCCGTTTGAGATGTTGATTCTCGTGTTTTAAGCCGATTTCACGCGAGGTTGTACGTTTATGTCATATTTCAGGACCCGGCGTTGGAATCGAGGCGAAGGAACGAGATTCGGGTCGAAAGGAGCAAGTGAGGCTTGAAGTGTGCTGGAGAGCAAAAATACCCGGCCATGAGCAGAAATACCCGACGGGGTATTATCTGGCCATGACCGGGGATTTTTGGATTTGGGCGTCCGTGACAAACAGAAGGGGGCCCGGGCAGGAGGCGAAAATCCCCGGTCGGAGATTATTGGCCATGACCGGGGATTTCCCCTGAGGAAAAAACGGTGCGTTTCAATTCTTCCTAGAGAGAGAAAGCGACGAACCAGAGTTCCCAAGTGCCCTAGCTTGATCTTCATCACCATTGGAGCCCGGCTTGAGCTTGGAGAAGTGCCGATTGACAACCAGGAGTAGAAACTCATCCTTCACAGTATGATTTCCGCGTCTGAATCTGCTTTTGCTTCTCTCTCCATGGAATAGTTTCCCCATTCATCTGGGTATGGGGAACCCTAGATTTGTATGTTAGGTCTGATTGTATGAACCCAAGTACTGATTTTATGATTTAATTATATTCGATTGAAGCTTGAATGATTGAATGACTTGAATCCTGATCAAATTCCTGTTGTTTCTGCTTTAACCTAGAATGAGAATATCTGCCTAGGTTGATAGAGCATCCTTAATTGAAGTAGTGAATTGGCGACTTTAGCCGAGGAGCCAATTCGCTATTCTGTACCGAATTCAATTCGGTAGTGGAGGTTTGGTTCGTTAGGGCCTCAATCTGTTTACTCCGGTGGAGGTTAGTCGCCCGCTGGAGACTCAGATCGAGAGGGTCTGGAGACCTTTAGTCGAGACTTCAGACTGTTTAAGAACCTTCCGCAGTATAACTTTCATGAAAACTGAACTTGGTAAATTGCAATCCGGCTTAACTGCAGTCTAGGGGGAACCATATCCGGGTGACCTCTCTCGACTTGAAAACAACCGTTTAACTTGCTTTGTTTGTTTGTTAATTTGGACTTTCACTAAAGTTTCACTGCTAGATAACAAGAATTCACCGAGTAGTCATCAAATCTAGGACCCGAGTTGACATTAAAACCCAAACCCGCTATACTACGCTTTAGGAAGTGGTTACACTTGGCCAATTTCTAGAGTGACAGTAGGAGTGAGTCAAGTTTTTGGCCGTTGCCGGGGATGGCTAGGTTGTTGAAGAAAAGTGATTTCTGTTACTTTAGCATTTTCATTTTCGCATTGATTGTTTGTTCTTTCCCACTTGTGCCTTCACGGGTTTGCATTGCTTGAGTGTGTGCAGATAATGCATGACCCGTAGCCAGTCGGGAGGTTTACTGCCGTTGGATCCAGAGGTTGAACGCACCTGCCGCCAGCTTAGAAGACAACAGCGAGCTAAACTGGCTACGGAAGAGCGCATAGACAGCCATTTGAGCCGCGAGTCCGAGGACGAGTACGTGATGGAAGGAGAACACAACCCACCCCCGGGGAATCCTCTCCAGGTTCCCCCGGTGAATCAGCTCTTGGGGAACAACCCCATACCCCAGGCAGATGGGGTTCATCATCATCCACAGCCGCCGGGTCCCACCTTGGAGTACTACTACACTCCACGGATTGCTGACATCCGCCCGGTCATCCTCTATCCGCCCATCCCAGCAAACAACTTCGAGATCAAGCCATGCTGGATTCAACTAATTACATCCTCTATCCAGTTCCATGGCTTGAAGGATGAGGAGGCAAGGGTGCATCTTTCCCGTTTTCTGCAGCTGACGAACGGGTTCATGCTAAACGGT